TTGGAACCTTGCTGTATTCTTCTTAGAAGACAACCTCTCAAGAGTTTCCCAAACTTGAATTGGAGAATTAACATCACGAACACCATCAATGAGCTCTTTGCTTTGCCACACCTGATCTTCCACTTCCGTCGTGGTTCAGCATTATCAAGAGTGTCATCTGGAATTGTTGAATCAGTACCAACAACCAATTCCCACGGATATTGGCCTTGAAGGTAAGCTTCCATACACATTCTCCAGTACTTGTCGTTTGTGCCAACTAGTTTCTCAACACCATTTTGTGTATTAGAACCATTTCCTCCACTAAAGAATTCCATGTTTCAAACTAAAGAATTTTCTTGCAACAGAGTCCACCTTTCTCCAAAAAGACAACACTTGATAGACGAGAAGAGTGAATAAAACAAGGACTTTAAACTTGGTTCTGATACCATATGACAAAAAGACAAGAAAATTATTTAATGAAACAGGAATTGAAAGAATCTTACTGAGATCCACAATTAATAATTACAACTAAAACTGAATTTATAGACTAAAAGTTAGCAAACTTCAATAAAAATACTCAGATATAATCTGTTAAATAAAGCCTAGTATGACTCTTTTATTGACAACTCAATACTGACTTAGTCTATTCTAAAAGATTTGATTTATTCAAGCAATTAACACTATAAGAAATTAGCAAGATACACGAAGTTTTGACAAGGACATGGCAACATAGTATACCCAATTCTTTCAGTTATACCGATTTTGGAAATGTAGTTTTGTCCAAACGTCAAAAATAAGGGAAATGAAGCCTAGAACCAGTACCTCTGAAAAAGTAAATTATGAAGTAAAAGGTGAGTCAAAAAGCAAATAAATGACTCTAAAAAATCAAGGGTTTATTATTTTTCATTCAAAGTACAGTGGAAACAGTGTAGAAATTATTCGCAAATCAATCGATATTCAAGTCAATCCGGCCTAAAATTGTGAAATTCTGAATTCTGAAAATACAACACAAGAATCCATATTCGTCCTGTAACAGAAAATAAAAGAATCCCCCCATCTTTTCCTTGATCAAACACCCAAACAAGCTCCTTCAACTACGTTTTTTCCACTTTCGTCTGGCAAAACAATCCCACATTCCCAATCAGAATCAATTAGAAAATAACTGTCTAGCTATATAATTTAACATTAAAAGGACACATTTTAAAAGCAGCAAAACTACCGTTCCTAAATACACAAAAAAATACGAAGAAAAATAACCTCTCCGAACTTATGAAGAGTTTTTTCCAGCTCTATGGAGATTAAAATGATTACCGCAGAAACTAATGCCACTGCCCATGTTGGTGTCTGGTCTAGTTGCCTCGCAGATTCTAATTCTCCTCCCGCCATTTTTTTTTTTTCCTTTTCTTCGATAGAGTATATAGAATCCAATGTAAAAATCGCATTGGATTTTGTTTTTGTTAATTTCAGTTTCTAATGGAAATGAAGAAATTCAGATTTTGACAATGACTGGATTACAATATGTAAAAAAGTGCCCGAATTTTGGTGAACTAATGGGTAATCGACCCAGTGTCGAATCCAAGACTTCGACTAAGTTAGAGAGATCATTGATCGTTGACCATTGAATGTCGATAGTTAACGGTCGTATAGCGATATGTTTATTAATATTAAATTAAATAATATTAAAAATTCTTCGATCTATATGTAAATATACTAAAATGTAAAAATCGTATATTTATATCATATTATATTTCTATACAATCCGAAATAATATAAATTACATGATACATAAAACTTCTTTGTGTTATCAATGTTTAACAAATCTTTTGCTTGACTAGAAGTAGTTGAGATATTAGATATACCACTACAAAAACTAGATTAAAATTCAGTGGAAAAAATCATTCCATAATTAATATGAGAATTGAATGTTAATCAAAGATTAAACGTAATTAAAATTAATTTTAAAATATAATTAAAGTTTCAATTTTCAATTCTCAACACTAATTCATCACAAATTATAAATTCCCCAATTTCTCATTTTCAATTTTCATAAATCACATATTCACATTTCACAATACTCAAATTAATTTTTAATATCACAATTCACAATAAACAAATTCTCAAATAACATATAAATTAAAACTCAATACTCATAAGTCATATCTTATAAATTATTAAAGCATAAAATATTTAAAACGAAAAAAAAACTTTTGTAAATTCTTAACATATATTATTTTGTTAAATTTAGAATTAAAATTCAACCATTACCATGATGGTTAAGTTTCCAATTAGCCTAACTCTAGAAGTTATATGTTCAAATCCTATCATCAGGGAATTAATTTTGGTAAATATTGTAGAAATAAAAATTTTACACAATGAAATGGAGGGGAAGGAATCAAACCCAAAACTTATAATATATAAAAGGAAGCTCTAACCAACTAAGAAAAATGGAGGTTTGAAAATAAAATGAACTACCAATTATATAACATAAAATTTTTATCTATTACCAAAAAAAAAAAAAAAATTCTCCCTAGCGAATCGTCCTAGCTAGCCACCTACTGAATCCGCCCTTGGTTCGACCCTTATATAGAGCGTAGACCCCGTGTGAATAAAATAATGTTCAATTCCCGAGGTGTGAGTGTTCGATTATCCCGCATGTTAACAATTATGTTTATATAGTATGGTCCTTGCAATATAATTTTGAAAAAGAAATTCATGTTTCTAACGGTACTGAACCATGTTTGGAAGCTTTGACAGTTGACAGAATTGGAAGAGAAACCCGATTTAATTTCTATAGTGCCATTGAGTGTTAATAGGGATTTAGTTGAGGGGAAAATATGTCCACAAAAGGGGGAGGGAAATACTCTAAATTATAAAATAATTATTCCTATAAAAATAAATACCATTTGAGAAAAAGAAGTGTCCTTTGCAAAGAAAAAATAAAATGGAAACCTAATAATAAAAATATCGTCGGAGAAACGTGATAAATGGGATAGTAAAGAATGGTAAAAAAATAAAAATTGCAATGTATTAGGAAGTTTATGTACGATTGCGCCAATGTCAATGATAATTGGCAAGCACATGTAAAGTGTTTTGATGATAAGTTCAATAAGGAAGATTAAATAGTATTAAGAGCAGCTTTAACATATGTTGAAAAAATGTAAGGAAATCTGAATACTTTAATGAATTCCAAGGCACGAAAAAACGTTATCTTTTAAGAGATATTTCTCCCCTATCCAACAAAGTCACAACTGGGGTATGATAGAAAATTTCTCTCAGGATACAATGGAGACGTTTGATTCAAATTGTGACTATTTGATCAAACCAAGAAGACACTCGAAAATAACTGATTGATGCCAAGATAAAGAAAGAAGAATAAATTGTTTAATGTGTTTTGCAAACGAGAATTCGCCCATAATTTATAAAAATTGAGGCAACCGTTTGAATAGGTGTGTCCCTTGAAATTCTTTTTCGGGGACGTTGCCCCCGAGCCCCCACGGATGGCGCTGCCCCCTCGACCCTCGTGACCTGACCGGGTAAGTCGATCCCCGTTGCGCAGTGACAAACACTAGTCGGGACGACAAATCATTTGCAAAACAGAAATAAATACATGCAAAATGATGAAAAATATCTAACAACATATACGCCAATTTTGCGTAAAATGCCAAATTGGTGTGAAAACTCCTTCCAATGCGACTTCATATTTTGACATCAAACTGGTATAATGAAAACTTTTTATTTGGTGTAATTTAGAGTTTTTCTTATTTTTCATTTTACCCTTCATTTTGTACTACAACAAATTTAATTTCCTAATATATCATTTTTGTTATTTAATGATTTAATTTTATTTATAGTTATTTTAATTCAATTATTACTTTTATATTGTGATGTTTGATTTAATATATTTTTAAATTGTGTTATTAAGTGTAATGCTTCATTTAAATTATTTATAAATTCAAAATTTTAGTTAATTAAATATAATTTAATAATTTTTGTAGCCATATAATTTTTAATTAAGTAATTTATGAAATAAATTGATTGTTAAGATTGAAAAAAAGAAGGAAATAAAGGAAACATTGTTCATTTAGTATAATATTTGGTATAATAGATTTAAAATGATTAAATAAAATTGTGTAAAAGTTGCACCATTTCGATGTGAAAGTTGCACCATTTTAGTGAAGCCCTTGTTTGATCCACATTATTTTCATAAGAATGCATTTTTGAATAGTATATTGATTAAAAATGTTGTTAAAAAAAGGTTTTAAATTTTCATGTAATATTATTTTATTGAAAAATATGTGGTTAAAATGATGTCAAATCATTATTTGAGAATGTATTTTTTTGAAAGAATGTGGCTCCAACAGGGTGTTAAATCCAATCATGCAACATGTTCATTCGACTTGCCATTAAGTTTGACATTTTAAGATATGACATCCATCATTTCTATTGATTTTTACAACAATCTTTCATGTCGCTAACTAATTTTGACAGGAGATATGTTAAGAAGAGCAGAAGTGTTTCAGAACCCGGGTTTCAATCCAGGGCCAAGATGGCAATACCTCGGCCCTTGATCTTCAATCATGCGGGGCCCACGCGATTCACATCGAGGGCTGAGGTGAATGTTATAAAGAACAGAAGTGCTTCAGAACCCGAGATTAAATCCCGGGTTTCAATCCAGGGCCAAGATGGCAACACCTCGGCCCTTGATCTTCAATCACGTGGGGCCTGCGCGATTCACATCGACTTGATCTTCAATCACGTGGGGCCTGCGCGATTCACATCGAGGACCGAGGTAGAAACCTCGGCCCCTGGCTCCAAACCCTGGATTTTATCCCAGGTTAAGCAGCATTATTTCAAGATAAATGTGAATATATGTAGCTTAATTCAAAACTTTATCTATTGTACTTCAAATTCACAATTGTGCAGGGAGCATGCCATCGTTGTTTACACCTCGACAAAAGGAATAAAAATCTTACCGACAATTAGTAGAATTGCAGGTAAGGGAGCAAGAGAGAATTAGAATATCGGACTTTTAAGATGCTTGATTGGGTTGCATTAACCAGAAGAGCCCAAAAGTAAAATTTACACAAATGAGGTGAAGGAAATTCAAAAAATGTAAGAAACTAAATTTGCAAACATAAACTCCATTGTAGAGTAGCATATCATGTCTCATACAAAATCTTATTGCAATCGAGAAGAAAATTGGTTTTGCTGGGAATCACTTGGGACAAATACAGGAAGCTGACCTCCCCTCTGTGATCTACCCTGTTGATAGTAACTTGACGTGGAACTTCTCTGGGGACCGGTTGGCAATGAGGCGCCAGTTCTAGCCCCTCGGCTCAGCTGTTCGTTCATGAGAGGACCTCCAAAGAATATAGATTGACCTGCGTATGTAAGCTCAGCAGCAGTAGCTTGAGATGATGAACCAACATTTAGGGTGGCAGCAGAAACAAAGCGCCCTGCTTCTGGATCCCAAAATACTGATGATTTCACATTTTCAGCAATACCCAAATTGTTTTTCCTCGAGGGCAGCCCAGATTTGTCATCGCTAATAGAAGCTCCATTTTTTTCACTTGCTTTTGCAGACCTAGGAGATTGATTAGCTGATTCTTGATATATCGGATTAAAGTGGTCTATGTTTGAAGAATGCTGCTGCTCAACGGGTGAAGAAGTGAGATTTGTCGCAAGAGGACTGCTTAAGTTACTTATGCTGTGACCACGTGTATCAATGTCATCCCTGCTAGCTTGACTAGGCGGATATGAGGTTTTAGATGGGGACAACACTGATGCCCCTGCTCGAGCATTACTCTCGTAATATCCTTGCCTTGTACTCGTTGGAGAGCTTTTACCACTCATGGTGGTATTGGATAAATGATCAGCATCGTAATTATGATGTCTAGAACTTATTGGACGTAAAACAGATGACGAAGCTCTGGCCTTTGCACCAGCTTTAATAGCCTCGTGAGAGTCCAACTTCGCAAGCTTCCACGCGCTGATTCTGACTGGACGCTGTGGTCCTCGTCTCTCCTTGTCAGCTTGCACAGCATCTGGATCGACTGTGGAAGGTAGACGTCCAGGCTCAAGATGGGGAATAATTTCATCCTGTGTAGGAGATGCCAAAAAGCAAGGAATATAATACCACTTGGTAATATAGATACATATGCAGGAACAGATAAACGAGGTTAGAAATGTTCCCCTTTAAGTGGTATAATTGAGCCAACATAGGGCCTGTTTGAACCACATTATTCCAAAAAAATACATTCTTAAAGAATGATTTGACATCATTTTAATCACATTTTTCAATAAAATAATATTACACGCAGATAAAAAATGTTTCATTATTTTTTAACCACACATTTCTCATCAATACACTATTCAAGAATGCATTATTACAAAAATAATGTGGCTCAAACACCCCCATAGATGCATTTTTTACTTCCCATGTTCCAGTTGAAATTAAAATTCTACTTAATAGCAACAAAGGTTAAAAATAATAAAATGCTATCAGATAAATGGAAAACACGCTTTGAGTTAACGAATCAACCAACATGATAAAAACATTAACTCCCCTAGTAACCATGGAGACAATAAGAAACCAATACGACCATAAAATTTGTAGTTAAAAGTTGTACAAAATGGTTGAAAATGGAAAAGTTTGTCCTGCATCATACATATCGCCCCTAAGAGCAGATCCACATAATAAAAGTTAACATGGACAAAGAAATGTGGATTGGTCTTTCTTATATGAATGAATGCAAAATTTTATGATGACATACAACTCAAATCATATGATTATAGACGGTGCCCATTATAGACAAATCGAAAAGACAGAAACAAGAAAGTGCAACAAAAATTGAACCTAGTGCCTAATGTTATCATCAACCTACCTTCCATTAACATGTGGATTAGTATCTCAAATGATTTCCAACCCATTGTTTTCATTATCATTCATAATGCTTCATTACAACTACAAACAACTAAACTCTATTCCCAATAAATTAGTATCGTACCAAGATTCATCTTAAGCTTCTCATTAGGCAGAGGTCTTGTGCTAGAATCCTAGGGACGCAATAAAAAGCCGTGACGGGGTAAGTGGATAGATACCCACCTAAAGCGGACGGTAGATATGATATAACAACTTGGATATAGAGATAGGGTCTTTACAAAAAAAAAAAAAAAAATGCGCATTTTTTTATAATTATTGGGCTGCTTTTCTTAGTTTAGCAAGCCTTGTTTTCCTTTTGAGGCTATTGGTTAGGGCCGTTGATTTTTAGGCTTTTACCATTGATAATTGTTATGCTGCTTTTCATTGGACAATTGTTGAATTTTTTATTAAATTGGTTGGAATGTGATTAATTATATACAGTTTCATTATGTCAACTGAGAACACTGACTACGTTTGCATTTACTTCACTCTACTCTTCATGGACATTTCATTTCCAATTACTAACTGAAGGCAAAGGCGATTTGTGGGGGACATATTGATGGAAATCTTCAGCCACCTAATCAAGAGAAGGACAAGGAGAAGTATTTTGCCTGAAAAACCAAGGATTTCCGAATTATGGTCTGGATCATTGGTCTTGTTGATGTTCATATTGTCCTTAATCTCAAGCCTCACGAGTCAGCTCTTTCTATGTGGGAGTACTATAAGAAAATCTACTCGCAAAGCAACAATGCTCGATGACTTCAATTGGTGTTTGAATTAGCAAATTTTTCTCAGGACTCTCTTTCCATTGAAGATTATTATTCTGGTTTTCCGAACATTTGGACTGAGTCTACAAATATTATCTAATGCTTCGATATTACCTAATAATTTGAAGGCTGTCAAGCTGTGCATGAAATCACCAAGAGGGATCAATTTCTAATAAAATTGCAAACTGAATTTGAATCCACCTGATCCAGTCTCATGAATTGCAAAACGATTCCAACGTTGGAGGGCCCGTTTAGGTGAGTTGCTAAAGGAAGAGCAATGACTTATCGCTCGTACTTGTCGAGTGAAAAAAATGCTGTAAATAGATTAGGAAAATAATTTGTTTTTGAAATCCCTTAATTCAAGGGATTCAATTGTCTGTCTATCCCTTAATCATAGTGATTTGTTGAATATTATTCCCAAATTTTAGGCTGGTTTAGTTTCCTATTTTTCCTCATGTAAATTACTATATATTGCCGTGTATTATTAATGAAAAGTGACAATTTTCCTTCCCACATTTTGTTTCGTGGTATCAGAGCCATCGGCTCCTCTGGGATTTTTTTTCTCAGGCAGCCTTTATTGTTGCTAATTTTAGTTCCTTTTTTTTAGGGTTCTTTTCTAGCATACTTTAGCCAGTATTTGGCCTTAATCGTGTTCCTTAAAACCTGATCTGCCAGACTTAATCACCATGTTAACCTCCGAAATCACCAGAAACCCTGACCCATCAAAAGAATCCAAATTCTGTTCAGAAAATTGGAGAGCTCTAGACAATCTGGCCTTCTACAAATTCAATGGAAAAACTACCTCAAATGGTCTCAATTTGTCCAAATGTATCTCAAAGGCAAAGGAAGACTTAATCATCTTCTTGGAAAAGGACCTGCAAAGGATAAACCAAAATTTAGAGCATTGGATGAAGAGGATTCCATGATAATGTCCTGGCTGTGGGACTCTATGGATCCCATGATTAGCAACACATGCATGTTTCTGGCTACCGCAAGGAGATATGGGACTTCATCAACCACACATATTCAAAGGCCCATGATGCTGCCCAGGTGTACGAGATCAAGGTCAAGATGCAGCCACAAACAAGGAGACAAATCTGTCATAGAGTATGCAAACATATTGCAAAATCTGTGGCAAAAACTTGATCTTTGCTGAGTTTTTGATATGAAATGTCTTCAGGATGCTGTCACCTTGAAGAATTTCATTGAAAAAGATCGAGTTTATGATTTTTTGGCAGGATTGAATCCTGAATTTGATCAAGCTAGAGTTCAAATCCTTGGAAAATCACTCACACCAACCCTAGAAGAAACTATCTCATTAATTTGAGCAGAAGAAAGCCGATGAAGTGTTATGCTTGAACCACACACCACAAATGGGTCAACCCCTGGTAGCAAACCATCCGGAGAAAGGAAAGAATGATCTGCTCAAATACCCGAGTAAAGGAAAACAGTGGAAGGAAAACAAGGACGACCTCTAGTGCACCTATTGCAATAAACCGAGACATGAAAGGGTTAATAAGTGTTGGAAGTTAGATGGTAAACCTCCAAGCCGGGAATGGGGGAACTATGAGAGGCAGCAGAGACCTCAACCACACACGGTGGAGCAGCCCAAAACGGAGGAAAATCTCAAAGCAGGAGGATTTATCAGTGAAGAAATTAAACGGCTAAGAAGCTTATTGGAGTCTCTTGAAAAGCCTTCTGGAGCCTACTCTTTAGCCCTTTCAGGTAAGATTTCATTCTCTTTTTGCAACAATGCCTCAAACAAGTGTTATGACAATTCTGGGATTATTGACTCATGTGTCATAGACCATATGACCCCCACTCCTCAATTCTTTCATACCTATACCCCATGTCCAAGTAATAGAAAAATTGTAGCTGCCAATGGCTCTCTAGCTACTGTTGCAGGGTTCGGAGAAATACATATCACACCTAACCTTATTCTTAAACATGTCCTTCATGTACCAAAACTGTCAACTAGCCTTGTGTCCATTCAAAGGCTTATTCAAGCACTTAAGTGTTACGCTGTGTTTTCTCCTTCTTATTGTGTTTTTCAGGATCAGGGAACAGGTAGGATTATACTTGCTAAAGAAAGGAGCGGCCTTGAAACACTTAAGAAAGAAAGGAGTTTTTGTCCTTGCCTTCATCTTTTCTATAGTTACAAAAATAAAAGATACCATTTGGTTGTATCACTTACGTCTAGGTCATCCATCATTTAAAGTTTTAAAAATCATGTTTCCTCAGTTGTTCCAAGGATTAGATATCTTTGAGTTTCATTGTGATATTTGTGAATTGGCAAAACATACTAATGTATCTTTTCCTATCAGCAATAAAAGTTCTCATACTTTTTATTTGATTCATAGTGATTTATGGGGCCCTTCTACTGTAGCCAATGTCTCTGGGGCTCGTTGGTTCATAACCTTAATAGATGATTGTACTTGGGTAACATGGCTCTTCCTTCTTAAACAAAAATCCGATGTCAGCACTATTATACCTACATTTCACTCACTGATTCAAAATCAATTCAGGGTAAAAATGAAAAGGTTTAAGACAAACAATGTTCAAGACTACTTCAACCAAAATCTATCACATTACTTTCAAACACAGGGTATTATCCATGATTCTTCATGTGTCAACACACCCCAACAAAAAGGGGTAGCTGAAAGGAAAAATAGGTATTTATTCAATGCTACCCGAGCTTTACTCTTTCAAGAAAATATTCCTAAATCCTACTGGGAGAGGCTGTTCATACTGCCACGTACGTCATAAATAGGCTTCCTTCAACGATGTAAGAAAACAAAAGCCCCATGGAGGTACTTAATAAATTTTATCCCCATTTCCGAACCTCTAATGGACTCACACCTAGAGTATTTGGGTGCACTGCCTTTGTTAATGTCCACAACCAACATAGAGGCAAACTAGACCCTCGAGCCATCAAATGTCTCTTCCTTGGTTACTCATCCACTCAAAAGGGGTACAAGTGTTACAATCCCTCATCTAGCAAATTTTATATTTCGGCAGATGTTACCTTTACTGAAAAAACACCGTTTTTTTCCAAGTCCTCCCTTTGAAGGGAGTTATCAATGATGGAAATGAGTACTTGTGAGTCCTTCGAACCAATTAAACATCTTGACTTACCTCAGGTCTTAGATGCTCTAGTCTGCGTCGAAACCGAACAAACCACATCCGAGTCACCCAATCTTGTCACTGAACTCAAGTCTCCTCCTCTCCCAACCATTGTCAATCATGATCTTCTAAGTATTACTCAGGTGTATTCAAGGAGAAAGGCCCTCCCAGAACTAACAAAGCTCCAGGAATCCAACTTAGACTTTGACAATGAGATCACCGTAAGAACTAACCCACCTTTACATACACAAAATGTTGAAACATCCATTGATTCAATAGATGACCTG